TTCCTGTTCTCACATATGTACTTAATGGCATTGCATGAATACAAAGGCTTACCCTGATCATCAGACATAATGCTTTGTGTCTCTGAGAAATCAGAGAATCGGGCAACTTTTGGTTGTTCTGTATCTATATTAAGCATGGTAACCAGGAGGTCACCAGAGGAGGTACTGCAGACATAGTAGGGTTTCCAGTTCTGTAGCCTGATCACTTCCTGTATCTGTTCATTCTTCATTATGTTTATACTTCTTGAATCAGGATCAGTATAAACTAAATCTCCACTCCTTGTCACGGCTATTCCATATGGTTTGTTCCCTGATTTTGTTTGGATTGACTTCAGAAGTTTGCCTTGGATGTTGTAAAGTTTCATGGTATTGTCACTCCCACGTATCCAAATTTTTTCATCACTGAGACAAGTTATACTGTACACTTGATCATACTCAGTTGTTATGGAGGTAATGAGCTCTTTGTTATCAAGCAATTGTGCTCCAAGTGTCTTCATCGTGTAGCCATGCTCTTCTGTTGTTATAGATAATGCTGATAAAGAACCAAACAACTGTAAAATCTGTCCTTGAATTTTTCGTGGGGTAAAAATTGGAAGCTTAACATTCAACTTGGGTGGCAATTTGATAAATTTATTAGACTTCATCTCGTAGGACAGTGATTTTAAAACTTCATTTGATTGTAGAACATCTTCAATTTCAGATAAAGATTCTTTGACATCAGAAACCAGGTTCTCAATGACATTTAGTTGCTTTGTCAGTGTATCTTTGTGTTTGTCTCTCATCTCCTGAATTTCAGCCTGCCTTTTCTTTATAGCCATGTCAATTTCTCTGTGCAATTCTTCTCCATGTTTTGTAACATCTGTTGCAAGTTTTCCATATTTTCCATCTATGCCAACTAACTGGGATTTCAAATCAGAAACCATTTCCTTAAATGTTGAAATAACTTCTTCTTTTAGCCTCATTTTCTCGTTCTCTAAGCTTTTTTTCTTGGAGTTCACTAGCTCTTGCAAACTTGTGAAATGATGCCTTTTATGTCTGTCAGAATTAACACATTTTGGACATACTGGAATGTTACAGTCTTTACAATGTGTTTCACAGTGTTCTGTAGAATGGATTTTACAATGGGGGTACACAGTCATGGATTTTCTTAAATTAAGGGGTACCACATCATGCTTTTTAGAGATATCAGTCACATGTTCTCCTACACAAAGCTTACATAAATTCACTGGACACAAACTACAGTACATTTGTGCCACATTGTATTCACAGAGATCACATCGGAGGACATCCTGGGCACTGATTAGGGGATCCATCTTTTTATTATTCTCTTATCTCTGAAACAAATTGCAAGTTATTAAACATGAGATAAATAAATCATGGTTTTGATTTAAAAAAGAAAACCCACTAAAAAAGCATAAATACCATGACATGTATACCTGTTTAGCTATGGCCGCTACCACATTTTGTGAGTCTTTTATCTATTTGATAACATATTATCAATTGCCCTCATTTTTTTTATCTTTTATTTAAGAATTTCTAGTGTATTAAGGTTCTCATGTTTATCTTCATATTTTTTTGCAAAACAAGGTAAAACATGGACTTACTATAAAATTGTGCTTGTTTTATAAATATACTACAGGGCCTGATATTTTGATTTTACCTGACTACTCTTATATAAACAAAAAGGATTCCTTATTAGCTCACCTGAGCTGAAGGCTCAAGTGAGCTTTTTTGATCAAAGGGTGTCCGGTGTCATGTATCGTCTGTCTTGTGTCGTCTATCAAATTTCACATTTTCAACTTTTTCTCAAAAACTAATGCGCCAATTTCAACCAAACTTACAACAAAGCATCCTTGGGTGAAGGGGATTTAAGTTTGTTCAAATGAAGGGCCACATCCTCTTTCAAGGGGAGATAATTAAGGATTAGTGAAAATTTAATGGCATTTTTAAAAAATCTTCTTCTCAATAACCACTTGACTAGAAATGATGAAGCTTATCTGAAAGCTTTATTATATAGTGTAGATATAAATTTGTTCAAATCATGACCACCAGGGGTAAGGTGGGGGTACAATAGCCGATCAAAGTTTTACATAGGAATACATAGGGAACATCTTAAAAATCTTTTTGAGAAGAGCAACGTCATGATTATTCATAATTATGTGGAAGCACCCTCAGGTAGTGTAGATTCAAATATGTTTAACTCATGACCCCCAGGGATAGGGTAGGTCCACAATGGGCAATCAAAGTTTTACATTGGAATATTTATCTTTAAAAATCTTCCCCTCAAGATAAGCAAAGCCCATGATTAGTCATATTTATATGGAAGAATCTTCAGGTAGTGTAGATTCATGTTTGTTCAAACCATGATCCCTGTTGTAGGGTGGGGCCGCAAAGGACAATCAAAGGAATCCAATAACATAGGAATACATAGGAAAAATCTTTAAAAATCTTCTTCTTAGGAACAGTATAGCCATGATTAATCATGTTGATGTGGAAGCATCCTCATGCAGGTAGAGTAGATTCGAGATTGTTCAAATCATAACCCCCTTCCTGGGGAAGGGGGGGGGGGCACATATATATTAAAACTTTTCAATACTTAACTGATTTCTGCTTTTCTCCAGCCAAAGTACTCAGGTGAGAGATGTGGTCCAAGGGCCACTTGTTTATGTATATAGGGAGCACCTAAAATCAAGCACCATTTTATATATGTAATTTTTTTTTACTGGATTGCTAAAGTTTAGTGAATCTTAATAACATATTCTATTTCTTCTGGAATCCATCTGTATGACACTGTTTGATTAAATTTATGCAATCAGCCTAAATTTTTCCAATAATTGTAGTAATTTGCTGTCCAATTTTTTGGATCAGTTGATATAGGACAAATTCATAGTGAGGAATACCAGTATGTTAAAATTCTTTCATTAACCTTAAGGAAGAGCCATACTTAAGTTAATTTTTGAGGGAAAGTTTTCAAACCTTAAACATTATTTAATTAACTCACATGTGACATTTTATGGAAAAGTAGCCATTGTTGTCATATTATTATTTTTTTTTCAGCAGTGCCTGCACTTAAAATTAGGGGTACAGATCGACCGACCCTGCTGTGGCAATTATAATGAGCTTCAGATAAATTTATAAATATTAAACTATATTTAAAACAAGGAAAACAACAATAATGAAAGAAATTATTAATGTGTTTTAAATGATACAATAGGATACATCTCACTCAATCACAAGCGAGTTACTATAACCCCACTGTCTTTGCTATCCCAATGTATATTCATGCTGCATCAAATCAACCCACTCCCCACTGTCAGCCTGGATTAGGCCACGATAAAGAATAATCATTTACTTGGGAAGATTTAGGGGAAAAGTCTTCTAAAACAGTAGAAGCATAGCAATGCAGTATTTATGAAATTTGTACATTTTTTGGTGGTACATGTTATCTGATTTATTAGCTCACCTGAGCTAAAAGCTCAAGTGAGCTTTTCTGATCATATTTTGTCTGTAGTCCATCTGTCTGTGTAAACTTTTCACATTTTCGACTTCTTCTCCAGAACCACTGGGCCAATTTCAACCAAACTTGCCACAAAGCATCCTTAGGTGAAGAGGATTGAAGTTTGTTCAAATGAAGGGCACACCCTCATTCAAGGGGAGATAATTCAGAAATAGTGAAAATTTGGTGGCATATTTTAAAAATCTTCTTCTCGAGAACCACTGGTCCAAAAAAGTTGAAACTTATAGGGAATCTTTGTTACATAGTGTAGATTCAAGTTTGTTCAAATAGTGACCTCTGGGGGTAGGGTGGCACCACAATTGGGGATCAAAGTTTTATATAGGAATATATAGGAAAAAATTTAAAAATCTTCTTCTCAAGAACAGCAATGCCATGATTTGTCATATTGATATGGAAGCATCCTCAGGTAGTGTAGATTCAATTTTGTTCAAATTATGACCCCCTGGGGATAGGGAGGGGTCACAATGGGGGATCAAAGTTTTACATAGAAATATATAGGGAAAAAACTTTAAAAATCTTCTTCCAAGAACAGCAAAGTTTTGATCTGTCATATTGATAGGGAAGCATCCTCAGGTAGTGTAGATTTAAATTAGTTCAAATCATGATCCCCCGGGGGTAGGGAGGGGTCACAATGGGGGATCAAAATTTTACATAGAAATATATAGGAAAAATTCTTTAAAAATCTTTTTCTCAAGAACAGCAAAGCCTTGTTTAGCCATATTGATATGTAAGCATCCTCAGGTAGTGTAAATTCAAGTTTGTCCAAATTATGATCCCTGGGGATAGGATGAGGCCACAATGGGGGATCAAAGTTTTACAAAGGAATGTATAGGTAAAAAATTTTAAAGTCTTCTTCTCAAGAACAGCAAAGCCTTGTTTAGTCATATTGATATGGAAGCATTTTCAGGTATTGTAGATTCAAGTTTGTTCAAATCATGACCCCTGGAGGTTGGGAGGTCCCACAATGGGGTATCAAATTTTTACAAAGGAATATACAGGAAAAAATCTTTAAAAATCTTCTGCTCAAGAACAGCAAAGCCATTTGTTATATTGATATGGAAGCATCCTCAGGTAGTTTAAAATTCAAGTCCCCCCCACTCCCCCATGTAAACTTTTTAATACGGAATCAATTTGTGTTTTTTCCTAGCCATTTAGCTCAGATGAGCGATGTGGCCCATGGGCCTTTTGTTCAAGGAAATTTATTCACTTCTAGAAACAACAAGACTACACTTTTTAAACTTAACTTCAAGCATAAATATATTGTTCATTAAAATTATGAACTTTAAGTTGACGGCTACAATAAAAAATTTCATTCATCTTCAAATTTAATTTTTATGACTTTTGTAAGAAGTAAGGCACATAAACCTCTTGTTTCAGATTATTTAAGCAGAATACACATTTTATCACAGTGGAAGCAAAGATATATACATATTGGAAAACAAAAATATGAACATTTACACATGTATTTATATCATTGTTGCAGAAATAGTTACCAGTTGCCAACAACTGTACACAGATGCAATAACTGGTATCTTTGAAGGATCGGCCGGGCCTGACCCATTTAGCATGGTTATAAACTGCATGGGCTGGCAAAGAAAGGAAGTTATTACCATATCAAATACACCAACAGGAAGTCCAGCCAAGAAACAGAAGAAATCCAAGGAATTTGTTCAACATGACGGGAATGGGAACACTCTTGGTACTGCTTCCCACATGTTATAAACTTAAGAGGAATAAAGTCTTTAAGGACAGAATATTTCAAATAAAAACATTTTATTTGCATGCATGCAGTTGTGACACGTGTTTTTCTCCATTTTTTGATATATGTATGTATATATATATATATATATATATATATATATATATATATATATATATATATATATATATATATATATATATATATATATATATATATATTTATATATATATATATATATATATATATATATGGTTGTGCCATTTAGGAGACCGCTCATATTTATATATTGGCATTAAGTAGCCTCGTAGAATAAGTAGACCAAAACCGGTCGCCTTAACATTTTGACCCTCTCTGAACAGAAAATTAATGACTTTTTAATATTAAATTGACAATAGTTAATTTTAGTTTAGTATATTTTTGTCCCTTAAATACCAAAAATATGCCAAAAATTTATGATTATAGAAATTTTTTAATTTAAATTTCAAGCAACGTATATATTGGTATTATTATATATCGTCATTATGTAGACCAGCTAAAACTTGCAAAATTAAGTAAGATCTGCTATATATGTCTTATTTCTCCTAGTATTTAGTTTTAGATATTGTTCTCCCACTAATATTGGGTATGTACAATTTGCTAAATAGAATAAAACTTTTTACGAGGAAATGAGCTTTAGAGTTTCGTGTTCATCAACTTCAAGGTTTTCGTGCGCAACGCCTTCCGAAAATTTTCGGAAATCCTCGGTATCCTTTACGACCTTCGGAGAAATAGGAGTCAGACAAAATTTTGGTAAGTAATAACAAATTATGATTTTTTAAAAATACTTATTCATGATACATTGACTATATATTATGCACCCAATATCTTGCGGTTAACGTCTGGTATTTATTCATTGATAAAGACTTGCGTATACTTATTAGCATGGAGGAAATTCGAATTGTAGTTTACCAACAGCGTGGTTTCAACAGATCGTTTGTTTGTTTTGAACATATTTTATTGACATAAGTAAATGGATCGGAAACAAGTTCTTACAACTTACTGGTTCCTAACAATTGATTACTTGAACAAAATAATTGTAATCTGTGCTTATTCATAAATATATATACTTAATATTAGGCTGGTGGTATCGTTCTTGCGGAGATAAATTAAATATTCGATAATTTACCTGAAATACTAACTCTAATTTCCTATTATACGTGGGGTAGGTTGGGTTGGAAATGGGAGAAAGGTGTTTCTAGGTTCAAACTTTTTTCACAGCCTAATCCAACCAGCCTTTCCTGAACAATTTTAATAGTAAAAGATTAATTGGGGGAGGGGAGGAGCCCCCCCACCCCACCCCCTCCAACCACGATACCACATCTCTGATGTCTATGGCAGCGGATACATGCATGCATATATGTACATACAAATTTATGTATCTGACAGCATCCCTCTTAGATTTCTAGTACATAAAACATAAAGTTGATTTGGACAAGCCCAATATAGCAACAATTTTGAAATATCTTTAAAAATAAAGAGGAATTAAGGGCTACAAACTGCTAAAAAGTTCAAAGGGACCAGATTAATATTTTTAATCGGGTTAGAAGTGGGGTTTGGGTGCAGGATGTGTGGAAATATTTTGTGGTGTATATTCCATATATGTAAAAAGGCTGTAGTCTACACATCATTTTTTTTAAGGATAGAAATTTGGTTGAAAAGGGGGGGGGGGAGTTGATGATAAATGTTATCTATAAATTTCATTTTGTTGCAAATGCCAAAAAAAAAGCATTTTTGACAATGCGCATTTTTGTAACCATACTTACAGTCTAACTTTCTGTTTAATGACAAAAATAATCCTATAACTGGAAATAAAAATTAAGCCAAAAGCCTCCTTGCTTACCCATTTTTTGCGCCTCAAGTTAAATCTGTGACATCACACTAGCCGACACATTACATGTAGTAGAAAGTAATAATATTATTATACACCAATGATATTTTAATCAATCTATTACACTGTACCTTTTGGCATGAATGGAGGATTAATTAACAGGTTATATCAGAGATGAGCATATCAGTTAATAGTTATATGTATTACACTTTCCATGATTGAGTAACAAAAGATATACTGTATAATTCTTGCAATATTTTTTCTATAATAGTAGACTCAGTTAACATCACCACCGTTAAAGAGTTTCGATCTGCTGATTTAATTTCCCAGATTTTATTAGAGATCTACAAGTACCTTAATTTACAGGTCAATTAATTAGTACATGTACATGTATCTCAAATTTAATTGGGCAAATGAGAATTTTGTCTTTAACAACTTAAATGACTCAAAAATGTATTGCATGTTCAACATGATCAAGGCAAATTATTTCCTTTATCATGAATTTATTCTAATTTTATGGGAGAATATATTTATAATTATGAAAGTACTAGTAAATCAGTCTACACATAAGTAAAAATTACCTCAACTATTTGAATTACTTTACAGAATTTATTGCATTGTCTTTATTACTTAACAATCATTTAAAACTATTTCATGGCCGTAGGAATGGGGGGGGGTGCCCCCAATTATTTTGCCGAAATATAGAATACTAAAGAAAACATAGCTACTATATGCTTGTGCCCCCTCAATAAAAACGCTTGATGACCTTTTTTTTTCTTTTTTTTTCCTTTTTTTTTTAAAGCTTGTCAAGGAATTTTTGGTTGTTAGTGCCCCCCAAAGAAAATGCATGGCTGTCCCCCCTCCCCCAAACTGAAATTGCTTCTTACGGGCCTGTATTTATTGATTTTTTTTTAATGTTTCATTTATTTATAAACCTATTGAGTGTTTCATTTTGAAAAGAAATATTAGAAGATAATCATAATTTCAAAAAGAAGTTGAAATTAAATAATAAAAGAGACCCGAAGAAAAATTGCTAGTTGTCAAGCTTGAACAAGTCCTGATTCATATGAAACAGATCCTGATCAATTTAAGTTTTTTTTTTTTTTTTTATACATATAATAAAAAAGATACTGTTTATGTTATGCAGTTGCCATGGAGAAATTAACTTGCTTATACTCTCAATTTAGTTATAAAACCATATAACAAGCAATATTTTTTTTTTTATTTTAATAAAATTGTTGTGCAGAGTCTACATGTATTACTTGTATATCTACATATGTACATGTAGATTAGAAACTTTCGGTCGGGTTCAGTTTAATTTTGATCGGGTTAGTTAATACATTGTTGAGTCTTTTGATCAGCATGGACATGGTTTGATGGTATGATAATATTTTTACAGTTTCAATTTCTAAACTTTCCAGGAAAGTTTCCTGCATTTTGTACAATGGCTATTTATATATTTTCCCATGAGTTTTTTTTGAAATTATGTTTTAAAATTCTGACCAGATTTCTGAGGAAAATTTTAACTGCCTAGGGTGCATCTTCGCTAGCCAAGGGTTTCTGATACGCTACCCTCCTCATAAGTTTATAAGGAGAGTAGCGTATCAGAAACCCTTGGCTAGCGAAGATGCCTAGGGTGAGATTTATGACAGTCTGAGACATATAAAACCAAGTCTCTGAATAAATTAGATTTTGTTGACTTGTTTGCATTTATGCATTTATTTTTATTATAGTGTGTTCGGTACCACATAACATGCGAGAATACCTTCTCCAGTATGTTGGAGAGAAGATTAGCAAGAAAAAGGCGGGTGAGAAAATGAGAAGTTGACAGAAAAAGATTTTTTTCATTATCGAAAGAGACATGTACAACATCCATAATGGTAAGAAAAGAGAATTATTTATAGTCATATTTATTTGTTTCTATGACGTTTCTTTCGATAACTTTTCACTCGTATTGAAAAGCCAGCATTTGAGAACCTCTGTACTCAGGACCCTTGAGCAATGAGTAATTTTGTTCATACCAGCACCTACTACAACATGGGACCTCAGTTTCATTTGAACACCGGTCTCCACATCCTGCAGTGGGATTCGAACCCGTGATGTTAGGATCAACTCCTTTATCTGTGACTCTAAAGCAAACACTCTAACCACTGCTAGTCATATATGTATTCCTTATGATGTGAGCTAGCATTATGAAAATTACATGTTCTGTAGATCATAGGTTGCTACATAGTTCTTTGTATGTTGGGCTAAAAAATATGGTGTTCATCAATGATTCATTTTGGTGTGCGTCCTGCGTAAATTATGCACAAATTTTGCTCAGGACGCATTATTTTAATAAATGTGCATCCCAATGGACGCAATAAATTTATAGAAGAACGTGTATTATTTGGTATAATCCGATTCTAAACTTGACTGATTGCATCATATCCATGTGCTAAGCGATATGCATGAACAATTTTAACAGGTATATATAAGGTTGCCAACAAAGGTCAGATTTCACAACTGCAGCTAATTAACCAGCAATTATCAGAAAATATTTGAAAGTTAGATAGCATAGTTCGATTATCACTGATTATGTCTATACTGTGGAACATTTCTGAAGTGAATACTATACCTATGTAAAAGCTATACATGTAACCTGTATCATTTTTTTTTTCCTTACAAGCTAAGAAGTTTAAAATTTAATCATTTTTATTTCTGACTGTTTTTTCATTTCTTCTTAAAATTTCTTTGCTTCATTCTGCTTCTGTGCAGTTTATGACTGATACATTACAATGTGTGAGATCGTATGTACGATCTAACAATAGAACCAAAGTGCACAGTTGACAATATATTATATTTATGACACAAAATCATGTAGTCTTACTTGGACAATTGATAGTAAAATTATAAAACTACTCACAGCAACAATAAAGCATTTGCTCTTTCGTGCAATAACTTTTTATATTTCACCAGAATTTCCTCTGTTATATCTAATATATGACCCTTGGATTTGGATGCACTGATTTTGTCATGGGACTCATTGTTGTCATTAAGGGGGGTCCTTTGGACCCATGATAACCATTTTCAAAATGAATCACTGGTTCATAGGTCTGGGACTAAAAGTTTATGAGGGCATACTATCTTA